GGTGTCAATAGTCAAGACATTATAGACCCTTTACAACACGAATGCCAATAATATGGGTAACATATCAATCCCTTTATTCTTAAATTTTGTAGAACTTTATGATATTGTGCCATTAGGCTTATGAAGCACTCTGTGCAAATAAAATGATATATACTTATTAGGAAGCTTAAGAAAGGAATGGAGAACTCGGATTCCTGCAGTAGTCAACTGTTATTCTCTATGCTAGCACATGTCTTAGGAAATCTATAGGGTAACACTGATTTGATCCAATAGAAGATAATTGTGCATAAAAGAAAAGAAAAGAAAAAGGACTTTACACAACTCAGCATTTTACATCACGCTACAAAAAATGGTGATGTGATGATCCAAGCTTGGCTTGCAGCTAAGCCTCCTTGTCACTTTAATGCATCGCTCTGTCCCCGATCACCTCCTTGCTCAGCATGTTGCAAGTAGTAGGTTGGCCTGATTATTATAGAGGACAATTGCTGCTATGACATCTAGCTCCCTCATTCATCAAAACAATTCATTTCTCCACACCCACGGTTCTTACAATGTTCACAATTCACACACCTGTCATGTTAGTGTTATGAGTTGTGCCTTCTAGTCAAAAATCAGTTCCATTATGTTAGTTTATCATGAAACATGTCTTTTTAGTTTAATTGGAATTTTAAACAAGTGTAAGTTCCCACCAGTTGTTCTAAAAGAAAATCACATAGCAAAACTCAATCTTTGTGACTAAAGAGTTTTCTTTAATTTTTTGTATGTTATTTACACTAAGTGTAGCTGTCTCCTTACATGAACTTCCTGGACTAATGACCTTCTTGGCTGTTCCTTAGACTTTTAAACAAATACCTTGGTTCTAGTTCCCAGTGACAACAGAAAAGCCGAGTTAAATAAGTCTGAGCCTAGTCATGTATTTTTCATGCTGGGCTTTGCCTAAGAGCAGTTAAACTTAGGCAAACAAACCCTCCAAATAGTTGCTCAGCTATAACAACACCCTAAAAAGCCTAGATGAGCGCAAAAATCAATGCAAATCTATAGATGCTCTGAGTTCTCCCATTATAGCAGGATATGCCCTTTGCAGGAAAACAGCTACTTACTGCAGACAGAACTGTATTTCCCTTTAGCACACGCACACGCTCAGTTTCCCCCTGTAGTTGATTGCCTCTAGATTCCCGTCAGAGTGGAGAGGGAAGCTGCAGTAGCTCAGGAGGACACTGGCGCAAAAATACTGAGTCCATAGATTTCAGTTTCTAGTCTACTGAGTGCTGCCTTCTCCCTATGAATGTGTTCTGAGTAGAGACTTCTCTCACCCAGCTTCTCCTTGGTTCCTTCATGTATTATGAATGCTTCCATTTTAGCAGTTAGGGCTTAGGTTCCCTAGGAAATACATGGCTGTTCTCTGTGTGCCAGGCACGGTGCTGAATGCCTCATGTACCAATTTACAGCATTTTCTACGGAAGAGGCTGTTGTTTGTTTGTTCCAGATCACTGTGAAACCCCAAGATGTGGGGCAGTGGAACCCATTTCTTAGGTGTGAGGGTCAAGTAGGTTGTCCTCAAATTTATATATTGGGCATTCTTGGGAGGTGCCTGGTGGAAACTTCTTGTGTTGTGGGTGAAGAGCTTATGAGTTTATGTTTTCCTTGAAGGATTCAGTTTGGTCTAAATTCTGACCTACATGCTTGTCCTTTCTCTCTGTATTGCTGCCATGGTGTAGGGTGAAAGACCCTTCCAAGATGTAACAGTCTGATTTTGTTTTTCTTCTACTTGCCAGAACTATGTGCCTAAATACATTTCTTTCCTTTATATATTACTAGGCTTATTGTATTCCTTCCTCCCTTTCTGCCCTGGACCAAACCCTACATAATAGATGGGAAACCCGAGTAAATGAGACTACTCAGCAGTGAGTAGAAAACCCATGACGGGAAAAGTGCTTGACCTATACTGGCTATGCCCAAGGCCACCACAGCCACCACAGGTAGGTAGCCATCCAAAAAACATTTTCCTAGAGTTCACTGTCATTCACTGGAGGGAAGGAGCTAAGAGGCTGAGTGCTGACACACCCAAACCTGCCTCTTTGACAGAGGACCTCTGGAAGTACACTGTGCCTAAGTAAGTAGGCCTGTTGGTCTAGTTCCACTGAACTATATTCAGAAATACACAGAAACATGGATATCAAGAAAAACACTAAAATCGCCATTGAACATTGTAAACATTGTACTGAAGTCAAGGCCATGGAAGACATGAAGCAACGGGCCTGCAAAAGTGCTGGAGGGCCCTTAGTGTGACTGGTCTTTAAGACATACCAGGTTGCAAGGTACTGGGTATACACCTTGAATATCCTCACTTCCTTTCTGTTCCCACCTATGTCCTGTCATTGAAATCAACTCAGAATATCTCTATACCAGAAGCTGGGTTACAGAAGGATGGTGAAAACCTATGACCCTGGTGATACATGATTTAGTATGGCAGATTGAGTGGATGGGTGATTATAAGGTAGATTATGTGTGCTGACATAGGCTGGACTCAATTACAGTGTAGGCTCACAGGGACTCATGGGATGCAGTTTCGTATTCTCTTTATGGTTTTATCTGACAGCTGGAAGAATGAAAAGGAGAGGAATGAGTATAATGTTGGAAGACAAAAAGAAAAAGAGCTAGAGACAAATAGATGATAGACAGACAGACAGATGGAGAACCTATTTTATTTCTACTCCTATTTGAATTCACATATTTCAGGAAGTGCCCACAGGGCTAAAAGAGAAGCTAACCTTTCTTAATATCATATTTAATAAAAGAACTATCTGCATATTTTGAGTGAGCTCTTGTAGAGTGAGAGATAAAAAACAATCGAGTTGTAGCAGAGCATAATGAGGAGGGGACATGTGACAAGCTCATACATCTAGAGTTGGAGTCTGGGAATGTCTTCTCCCTGAGGGAGCTAGAATCATGGCCTGAGTTGAGGCTGACTTTGTAAGGCATATACTGGAAGTTAACAGCCAGTTTCAGTCTATGGTGAAAAGGCAAATAGGAAATCAAGTTAAATCAACCCCAGGCTGACCTCTGGATATACATGGCCTCACTGGGAAAAGGTCCTTCTCTCTTTCAGATTGCAATCAGTCTTGTGCTAAGATTATGATGGAGATGGTCACAACCTTCCAGGTGACTAATCACTCATCTTCTCCCAGCATGTGACTAATCTACTGCAAGAAACCTGACACCACTGACTGGAAGCCTTGAGAAGCAATGCATCTTGCTACTCTGGACCTATGATCATGGGGACAGCAGAGCTGCCTTAGAATGTAATGATTCTGTCTGCGTGGCTAGACTGAAATGCTCTTCACTCTGCCGGTTATTACACTCAACTGAGCAGGCCACCAATTTATTTCCTTCAAGCTATTAATAGGTCCACTTGGTGATTGCTTATGGGGTAGTAGGCTCCTTCAGCACATCTTCTTCCTCGCCACTTCCTCTGAGGTAGTGGATGGTAATAACTATTGTTAGTCCGTGTTACAGACCTGAAGGATGCTTGAGAGAACAAGGACTTTGTCCTAAGCAAGATGGCTGAGGGGGTGGGGAAAAGATGGGATTTGAACCTACTTATTTGGGTCTGAGGAGCCCCTCTGTTTATTGCTCTCATCCACTTTGTCCTGACATTAGAAAAAGACATTTTCTGCTCTGACAAAGATAGAACAGAATGGAGCCTGCGAGTATGAGATTTTCAGTCAGTTAAACAAAAAATAAAGGGAATTGGCCCTTCCTTCTGGATGAATTCTGCTCAAGATTTCCTTGGACATCGACACAGTTTCTTTCCTTATGACCTCCTAAATTCTACAGTGATTATGCTTTTCCCTTTCTGCAGACTTCTCTGGTTGAATACATCAACACAGAGCAGTGATGTGAAATGATTTCTTCTACCCCCCAAAGATAGGTGAGTCACTCACTAGTTGAGTCTACAGCAAAGCAATGCGTATTTCAAACCCTTTTCCTGTGCAGCTGAAGGCTGCCACTTTAGCAAGCTGCACCCACATGAGTTGAATACCACATGGAACACACTGATCCCAGCCTATCACTGGGAAATGCTCTTCTGTTAACTAATGTAGCCCATCACTTGTGCTTGGGCTGTGCAGGCACGCTCAACATGAATATTTGTCTACATGGGCCAATGCATTTGTTAGTGGTAGCAGAATTCACCTTGGAAATGCTTCATGGTCTCAAATGCTTGTCCCTTTTGCCTCTTTCAAGGCCCTGCCCTTGATAGTAATATCTGTGATCTCAGTGGCTTCCTATTGGCTGCCTCAAAGAACAACCTAGGAGCTGTGCAAAATCTAAAAACTTAGAGGTGAAATCACAGAAGGGGTTTGGTATGAATGTGAGCAGGATGCCTACAGAGTGCTTTGGAGGAGATTCCTAAGTCCAACCTAGCCAGTGGGTAATCTTTTCCCAGGACTGACAAGAATATTTAGGTTCATGTACTTGGGTTATGCCACGTGGAGTGCCGCTGCAACAGCCGAAACAAGACTCACTTTTGAAAGATAATCAGTCTCTTCCAAAAGACAAATATTTCTTAAAATGTTAGGGTCACATCTGCGCAGACCTCTGTCTTTACTACATAGCTCAGACAACTGCATTTAGAATGTGATTTTTGAGTATGGGAGTGGGTAACATGGGGACACAGGATTCTCCAGAGGGAAAGGGAGGGAGAGAAGAGGAGGGCCAGGGAGATGACAGTGGAATAACCAATATAGTGGATACTACAATCTTGTTCTCAAGATGATGCCCTTGTCATGCTAGACACAGGAAAGAGAGAGAGAGAAAGAAAGAAAGAAAGAAAAATCCTCCCCGCATATTCTTCCTCCAAGTTTCAGAGAAGCAATGGACTTTGAGATCTCACTGGGTATTTTAGTCTTTACCCCATGTCAGTTATGTTATGTTAAGAAGCCTTCTGTGGGCTGGCCTGAGCACTGCACACCATATGTAACATGATTCCAGAGGAAACTTTGCTCTGAGTGTGAATATTTGAGTTACAAATCACCTACTGGGACTGACTCTGTTTGGAAAGAGAACTGCAAGGTTCTAAGCACACCATCACCCTACACCAGACGCTGTTCAAGCACGGAAATGCACATTGAAACAGACGGCTGGAATGTGTAGACGGTTTCGTGCACAAAGCTGCAACATCTGGATGAATGTAGATTAACTACACCATCCAGATGTTTGAAAGTGAGTTGTGGGTAAGCGACGTATTTATGTGACTGTCAGTTTTGTTATTGTCTTCAGGTGCTGCAAGGTTAGTACTTCTTGCTTAAACCTCCCTTGATTCTGGAAACACATGGTGCTAAACCCAGCGGGTGCATCAGAGACTGAAGGGGATTAGGGTTGGTGAATCAGTTGAAGTAGGGGGCAAGGTTAGTGGCTCAGCTACACATTCTTTTTTAAAATCCCTTCCCTCTCTTTTGAAAGGGTTTTGGCAATCTGAACCTGAAGTCTGATATCAGTTCTGATTTCAGCTATTTTAAGCCTCTTAGTTCTCCTGTCCTCTTTCTTAGATTCAAAGGCAGGATGCAGCTATTGTCATTTTTCTCAAGCCCCCATCAATAAGCCTCCTGGTACATGAGCTACAAGTATAAAAGTACAGCATCTCAGTCTCTCCTTAACCTCTGTGTGGCAACTGTTGGAGGGTGAAGTTCTGGGGATCTCCTTTAAATAAACTCCCCAGGTAAGACTAATGCCGATGTCAGAGAATTTTGCTGCAGTATAACCTTATTCTGGGACATAAAACCTTAAGTTTTCAATTTTATTGGCCTATAGAATCTAGAAATCAAGTAACATAAAAAAGTTATGAGCCTAAGTATCATGGCACTTCTGAAAATGTACTGTAAGCAGTTGGAAACTTGATACCAATTCATCACAGACCCTTGCTCTCAGATCTGGTCTTAAGCATGGTAGGCTTTTTTCTAGTCTGAAATCTGATTTCCATGAAAGATCAATAAGAAAATACATTGCCAATATGGTAGCCATTATTATTTGATTTTTACTAAATCCTGCTCTAAGCAATTGACATTTGAAACAAATCATTCCTTCATCAACTATAATAACACTTTATTGCCTTTGTTCTCAAGCATTCATCTCATTTCCAATCTCCTATTGTGTAAAGCAGGCACAAAACTCACAAAGTCTAGTTTATCACAGCGCAAACTGAGTGGGGAAGATAAGTGTGATCTTGAGGAATCTGTCTCAGATTAGCAGCCAGAACCTGTTCTACAAGAGACCTTAAATATAGGAGACAATATTATATGAGGTCTGTGATGAGGCAGTTTGAATACAGCTTTCACAATCAACTGCTTGGTTCTGATGAAAACAGCGCTTTATCTGATATCAAGACAAAGCATTTAGGAAGACAATTCACATTTCCACAGAAAGAGAAGAGGACTATGAGGACAGTGGACAATAGGACCCGGTCTCAGCAGAGACTTACATGCTTTGATGCCTGACTTCCTCTCTCTGCATGAACTGTGAGAGTTTCAGTAAGGGTACTCAGAGGCCATCCTGGCCTAGCATTATTAATCTCCAACAGTCAGCTCAGAAAAGGGTGGGGGATTGTGCTATTATCCTAGTTTTCCTGTATTTTATTTTTCTTCATGCAAAGTAAATGCTGAGTATATCTGTTATGTTTCAAATTCAGCTATGCTGCTGCATTTGTTTTCCCAGGTTCTATAACAAGTGATGTAGACACAGAAGCAAGTTTTGTACAGGTATTTGTACGGCTTTTTTTTTTCAGAATCTGCTTGGAAGTGTAGGCAGATGGCCTAACATGGGTCTTAGACACACCCATTTGGATTTGTCATTGTTCGGGCTGTCAGGTAAACTCAGCACTATGTGCATTCATTGGTTACTCTGGCTCCCCTCAGCTTAATTTGCTCAAATTCAGTTTCTCTGCATTTACAGCTGCCCAAATGTAGTTGCCAAAGATACACAGGATGTTCTGCCCTGTTGTGTTTAAGTACTGTGAAATTCCAAGACAAAAGCTTTCTTTTCTCTGTCTTTTGAACATTCTTTTGCCTGGCATATGTTCATTTCTTGGAACCGTGGTACACTTTTCCTCCCAAGCAAATCTTATCCAGAGAGACACCTAACTGTGATGTGAAAGGGGAACTGCTGTTCTCCACTTATGGTAGAGCCTGCACTTCATTTAAAACAGCAGTAGGATTTCTTTTAGAAAGTCTACATTGACTATACATAAATGGTGTACAACGTCACACCCATGGATCTCCTCATGAGTATAAAGGCTATATGCTTTACATTTGTAGACCTTCGTAGACTCACCATCAAGTATCCCCTTTTACTTTTATTTTTCATAAAATGTAGAAATGCCTTTGACATGTGAATATATATTTCCATATGGAATATATGCCCATATATGCATGTATATGTCTATATATGTGTAGATATATATAGACATATACACACATATATGGTTAAAAATGTTCTCCTTAGAATCATTCCATATTAAAACAATTTATGTCAGCTTGAAATGTCTACTGTGTGTCATATCTACTGTACTCCCCTTTGTTTCCTTATTCATCTTGAAAATGCTTCAATTTTCAAGTTACATTCTCAGTGCATCTCAAACTCTTTTTTAAAAAGTTCCTATGTGTCAAAAGGGGTTGGCAATGTGACTTACAGTAGGTAACAGTCACAGAACAATGCAGCATTGGGCTTGGTTTCTGATTTTCATGCAGAGATATAAATGAGACTTTATAAGGAGAGTTCATTTTAGGTTGCCACAGCTTTGTTATATGAGTACAATGCCTTCAGCTCTAAGTCAGTCAGCCCCTGCCTGGCTCTTGGGTCATCATTATCTTCCTTCCCCGGCTCTGCAGTGGTATCAGCTGACTTCTACCTGACCTGCTCCTCAGAAACATGTTCACACAATCTAGAGGCACCTTCATTAAATGTTACAATATCCTGGAGATTAGGGATTGTGGGACGAACTTGACTGACTGAGCAAGCTGCTTGTAGCACAAGTTTCTGTGTTCCTGCAGGGCTCCTAAACCTAGTGATGCTTTTTCTCAAGTTTTCACTTCCTGTGATTCCTCAAGTGTCTCCCACTCCCACCCCTATCCCCATATGTATGCTTGCTGTTAGTTTTCACAGAGTCATCTGAAGGATAAGCTATCCATCACTGCTGGTTGAGTCTCCTACCTGAAATGTCTCTGAGGCTAGAGTCCAAATCACCACAATTCCTGCATCATGGATTCTTCTTTTGAATGGAATTATTGAAAACATTATCCCCTGTTCTAGTCCTTTCCCATAGCCAGACACCCTTCTCTTCCTCTGCTTCAATATTCTTCACCCTATACTAGCAACACTTGGTAGAACATAGTTGGATATAGTGGTTTCATATCTGTGCTATTATCCTATCTGATACTTCTGTCTTTAACCCAACCTTGACAAAAAGGGCTTGTTGGTGTTATGGCAAATTTTATCTACACTCAAATCTAGGGAGACTCTACCATTTTCTCTGTATGAAAAGGCCAAGATTTTAAATATAGTCATTATTTCTTTATCAATGTGCTGAAATATATCCCCAGGGAGATGATATCATTTATTAGGGGTAATCAAACTATGGTTCACAAGCCAGATACTTTCTACCACCGTTTTTATAAATAAAGTTTTATTTGAACATAGCCATTATCATTCATTTATGTTGCTTATATCTGTTTTCATGACACAACAGCAGAGTTAAGTAGGTGTGGCAGGGTTGTGTTAGTTGTTTTTCTCCTTTGTCTAACTAACCAAGTACAAGAAAAGAAATCAAGAGAGGTGGGATTTATTTTGATTGGCAGGTCTAGGCTATAGGTCATCAAGACAAGCAAGCATAAGACTGGCCCCACTTTCTTTAGCTGAAACCTTCCCTTGAAGGCTGTGCAGGTCTCCCCAGAACAGCAGCAGGAGCAGCAGCAGCAGCACTGCCTGGGGACCAGTGACCAAACACAAGCCTAGAGGGAATGCTTCACATTCATGTTCTAACAACATTTCTCACAAAACCTGACAATATTTATATCCAGCCATTTACCCAAAAAGCCTGATTAATTTTTTCTTCTACCATACTTCATCTCTCTACTTGATCCTAAACAGAACCCAGACAGACATGTTAGGACCAGGTAGTCAAGTTCCAACTCCAATTTACTTTCATCCCCAAAAGATGAAATGTAGTTTCGGACAAAGTAAGCACATATACAACTACATCCAGAAGTTATTTTTTAAGGAAGTCTAGTGAGAAATAAACTTGAGATAAATTTTTAATAGTTAGTCTGATATTTATTCAGAAACATCAGGACCACTTCTTAGTGGATGCTTTTCTTAGAGCCCCTGTGCTCTGACCACACCCTGCTGCTAAGTAAATCTAGCTATACTGCATTGGGGAAATAATCAGATTGACTTCACCTCATTCCCATTAGATAAACTATTACAAAGATGTGCTCATGAATGTTTGTATCAGCTAGGCTTGCAATAGAAAATGCTTTTTTTTTCTCAACCTCATTTGTTAAATTGAGGCTCATAGAATGAATGGAAAACTTCTGATGAAAATCAAATGATGGATTGGCTGACAGCTATTGCCACAGTCTTTCTGCATGGGTGTGTATATAACTCCTGCAATTTAAAGTAGTGGGAGGAAGGGATTTTACACCCCATCAAGCTATTTTATTTTTTCCTCTGAACTGATTAAAATGCAGGAGTTACCATTGACAATGAGCAGAGCCCATCACTGCTTTTATCAAATGCAAGGAGGTGTAAATACAAACTGTTAAACAGAAGTGAAAGATCATGACTCACTGTCTGACAGAGAAGCAATTAAACATAATCAAAGACTCAGAATGAACTCATGCTGTCTCTCAACACATTGCTAAGGAATCCTTTACACCACAAAACTAGGACAAAATGTCACAAGCTTCCAAACGTTGTTAGAAAAGCTTCATTTACTCATTTAAAACACCATCCAGACTTCAAGAGAAGATTCACTTACCACGACATAAATCACATTGCATCTAATCTGGACACCAGGCTTCTCAAACTGTAAACAATAATGGATTAAAAGACAATCCTTCAGGACATTATCATTTGTAATCTTAGGACACTCATTGGTGATTAAAATATGTAGTCCATTGAATGGATAAAGCTTTATATATGTTAACAACAAAGTCAATGTTTGTTGTCTCTTACAAATTCAAAGTGATTTATTATCAGGAAGTCAGTTGGACCATGATGTAAGATACAGTTCTATATTGAGAAGTGAAAATCCAGCTCATGGAATAGGATTCTGCCATCTTGAGTGAAAGGAACAGATGGCTGGGCATGTACGTGCTAGAGAACAGATGTGGCAATCCCAAAGTTCCTTAAATGTTACATGAACGAGCTTAGTGATGTTTTGCTCAACTGTCTTTCAAGATATGCGCGCTCAATGCTAGATTGTTATAAAACATCTGTGTCTGAAAAGGTGGGGAACCAAAGAGTTTTCATGATTAATCATATGAGTTCTATGAAAATCTTAGTCATGATGATTTGAAAAGTCAACTTGTCTTCTAATGCTAGCTCTTGGCCAACCAAATGAAAATGGGAACAATTTAGCTCTATCTGTACTGTGTTTGAAACCTTTACTTTAGATCTCAGGTTCAGGTGCTGACTGCTTCTGGCTGAGTTTCTGTGTCCACTCGGCCTAGAACCTGGAATACCGTAATTGCTTCATATGAATATGAATGACTAAAAGAATGACTCTTATCATTTATTGTTGAGCAGTTATAAGCATAAGGATAGAGATGCTGTTCTTCCTGGGTTAGTTTGATTTGCTGGTCAATGTTCTCTCAGTCCAGTGGTTCTCAACCTTCCTAATGCTGTGACCCTTTAATACAGTTCCTCATGCTGTGGTGATTTCTAACCATAAAGTTATATTTTTGCTACTTTGTAACTGTATTTTGCTACTATTATGAATCACAATATAAATATCTGATATGTAAAATATCTGATATGGGACCCCAGAAGGGTCATGAACCTTAGATTGAGAGCCACTGTCTTAGTCCTTTGCCCAGGAAATCTGACTTCATTCCATTTTCACAAAACATTCCATAAAAGTAAATCTTAAGATCTAGGATGAAGACATATAGGTCAAAGGAAGTTCTAAAGATGCTATTGTGTGGTGATGTGAGATTCAGAATATCAGAAGAAACTTAATAGAACTCAAGTTAAAAAAGAGGAAGAAGTAGATATGGAACTCACATCACAAAGCCTGATTCTTAAGTAATCATGTCTTCTGCAACATCAGTTCAGGCCAGTGCTCTACCCTCTAGCAGATTGGCAATTCTCAGTGGCCAAGCCTACTACAATAAGGAGGGGTCTGAATCCCAGAGAAAGCTTAAAGGACAGTCAAATTTTGGCTTTGAGAGTTTGTTAACCTTGAGAATTTCCAGCAGATGTGGGGACATACTCTTCATTGCTCTCTCTGTGTGTGTGTGTGTGTGTGTGTGTGTGTGTGTGTGTGTGTGTGTGTGTGTGTGTGTGTCTCATCTGAGTGGATATCAACATCTTATCTTAGGTCATTGGCATGACAGTACCTGCCTCCCCCAATTGCCAGCAATTTTGATGATGGCTAAAAGGTTATTCACAACTAAAGGGATGAATATTACTTAGTACTCAACATACTATACACGGCATTTCATTTGTACTTTCCAGAGAGGACACATCAAACTCTTGACAGACATTGCGTCTATTGTCTTATTTTCCTCTTACATTTCTTTAGGATCTACATAGGAACAGCTCTTTTATTCTTTTTTTATTCATTGTATTCCCAGAATGCTGACAGTGA